GAAAAAAAAAAAGAGTTGCAAATAAAAATGATAATCACAATGCCAGAAGGAACACATGTAAGCAAGCTGCTCAAGATTGAATTCCTTATGCTGTTCTGTTCAGCAAATATTTATGAACCTGGACACAAACATATCACATTGACAAGGGACCTCACTTCCTACTCAGTTTGGCTTGTTTATTTTTAGTCTGGGAACCTGGAGAGCCAGGCTTTCTCAGTAGTACTAATTGCCACGGTTCTGTTTTTCCGATGTTGGGGCTTCTGAAAATAAAGATTGGCACAAAATGCAAAAAGCTTGGGAAGCACTGGTCTACCTATTGAACCAATTAAAGCATTAATGAAGCAGCCAGTATTATAATGTTTATGTACATAAAAAGAATATTACCCATAAAAATATTAGTTTCAGCATTAATTTCTGTCAAAAACTCTGTACCTGTGGTATCCCTTGTTATTCACCTTTTTCAAATGCCTTTAAGAACTTCCATCAAGAACAATAGAAATTTTGGTAAGTCTTGTGATCTAATAATCTTAATCAGTCACTGAAGTAGATCCACATGGGAAAATGCACATAACCATGAAAAGAACAAAAGAAATAAACTTCTTGCAGGAATTGTGATGTATTGTTCTTTCAAATTCATTTGATAAACTGTTGTTACTTTCTTTACACAGCAACAATATCACTCTGATGTGTTTTGCTCCTAGTATACATTCAGCAAAAGTGCTTTAATTCATTGCATGAAAGATGCACAAGTGCAATTAATACAATTTCACTGCATGAAAGATGTCTTTACCTATGTTTCAGCACAGAAATTACAGAAGAGGACCTAGTGAAGCTCCACTCAAATAACAGTTTTGCAATGTATACTGGTATTTATAGGTACTGGCAGGCATACCCTTACAGAATCATGCTCTTACGTGGCCAAAGCTGTGTTCAGTCCTGAACATGTTCATCCCCTCCTCGAACAGTCACGTGATGGACTGGGCTCTGCACCCAGAGGGATCTCTGCTGGAAAAGCCTCCTCTTTACTGTGTATTAAATTAGTGACTAATTTCTAAAGTAAACTTTTAAAATAAAGAGATTTGAATAATCACCTAAAGCTGTGGTGTCACAGACCACTGAGATCTCCTAAGGGCTTTCTGCTACTGAAGAAGAAAGTATCTTTTACTTTGCTTTTGGTCCTGCATCCCTGACTCCAATTCCTGCCACTTTGGTCCCTGCTCCTAGATAGTGTTTTCCTGCATCCCTTAAACTGACTCTGATGCTCAAAAAATCTTGTGTGAGCTGATTTAACTCATTAACCCAGCAGAAAACCACCTCATTCTTTTTGCTGGGTTTGTTTCCTATCAGATTACTGTGTTAAACCAGGTCACAGCAGGGACTGAACATCAGAAGGATATAAATGGAAGAAATACACAACAATGAATGTGGCAAGTGGAGACACGGGAGGACAGAAAGCGGTTAAATGGCTCATCACATTGTATGAAAAGTCTGTCAGGATGAGGAATATGCTAATCCATTATTTAGCACAGACCCTGAAGTAATTAAGCTTTAACAAATGCTCTCGTGTGGGTCCTGTTTGGCTCTTATCAAGCATTTCTAGGAAGGCATCCCTGCCTTTCTTTGTTCTTGGATGTTTCTTTTATGTTTGAAAGTCCCCTGAAATCACAATTATCCCACAGGGTTCCACATCTCCCATGTCATCTGTATAAATCTCATTACAGGGCCTTTTAATCCCAATCCTCGGGATAAATACTATGCATAGATGTTCTGCAATAAGCAGTTACGAATGAGAGTTATGTGGCAGACTGCTCAGGATACAGCTTAGTCACAGACACTACGCAAACCTGCCTGCCTTGCTTGTATGTACCATTTATAGACCACAAGGAAACAGCGCTTACGGACGTCAAAAAAAACCCTGGAATCAATCCCACTGAGTGGCATGGTGAGTGTTTTGACACAAATAAGGCTATTTGTATCAAATGAAGCTGAAAGGCTCAGAGTTTTAGGCAAATTTTTCTCAAGTTGTCAGTCCTCACAGCTGCCAGCCCCATGTCACACCCCCACAGGTGTACTGCCAGCCAGACAAGAGGAGGTAGGGCAAGAAAGGATGAAGGGCTGAGAAGTACTAAAAGGTCCAGGATACTTCGTGTTAACCAGAAAATGCTGCTAACTTTAGAGTCCACTTACCATTTTAATTCTAAAGTTTTCATGAATATTTTTTTTTAAATCCAGCACCGGGAAATGTGTGCATGTGGATTAGCATCCACATATGAATAAACTCAATTCCAAAGGCAGCATCATAAGAACAAACATGACAGAGGGCACATTCAGGAAAAATTATCTCAAAACTCATCCCTCCTCTGTGTACTTTCATCAACTCTCTGCTACCAGTTCTTGTACCATGCAAAAGAGACTTTTCATCCAACCCATTATGGCTGACCTTCTGTAACTAATATAGTCCTGGAAATACCATGGCATCAGTGATGGAAATTCCTGTTTGGTTCTTCAAGCGCTGAACAGAATAGGGGAAAAAATTTCAAGGTGTGGATAAACATTAAAACACTAAAAGTCAACGCCACCCTTGCAGCCCTTCCATCAGAAATTAGTACCCCCCAGGTGGGCTGAGTTCGTGGAAAGTCTGTCTGGACTTCACCTTCCTTAAGTACAAAACACTGCAGTGTTTCTTAAACTCTGGATGACAGTGGGACTAAGTGGAACTGTTGGACTTGGCACAAACATGTCCTTCCAGGGACAAATGCCTCCAGGGAGGGGCAGAGCATGTAAAGGGGTCTGTGGCAGCCTCTCTCACCACAAGTGCACTCACCAGAGCTTATCTGACTACATTAGGTTTCAAACTATCATCTCTGAAACTTGATCTAAAACTCCAAATCATGCCAGCCCAGTCATCTAAAATGCCCTGCCTGCGTATTTTGTAAAGTGTTACAGGGATCACTTCAGTTTTACACACTCTTAATACACAGTCTTGGTACTAGTTTCCCCGTTACTCCTGTTCGTTTACTGTATTTATGTCACAAACAGGAAGCAACAATTTACAGGAACAATTATTGTTGGCTAAAATTCACCCACAAACTTTCTAAAGGTAATACATTCACAAAAGTTCATTTTGCTTATCTACAGAAAACATCTTGATTAATATTATGGTAATCACAGGCACCAAAGAAATAAACACCAAGTAAACAAGGAAAAAAACCCCCATGTTTCAACCTGTTCTTTTCACCAAAACAAGGAAATACAGGTTTCAGGACAATAAAATGTCTCACTGCTCTCCAGTGAAAGCACTTTTTTAAATCTGGGGCTACATTTGCCTATGAGATTAGAAGTAGGCAGTGGGATAGCCTGATGCTGACAGCACTCAGCATCAGTGTGATGACTTGCCTGTGTGTGTGAGAGGAGAACACAACTCCTGAACACTCTGCACTGGGTACCTGCAAAGTACGGCTGACACCAGCGTACATTGGCAGGATACTTCCTGTGCTTAAAGCTGGTGCCCTCCTCACCCTGACCCTACCTCTGCTTACTCAGCTGTACTGTAGAACCTGACAGGTAGAAAGCCACCTTCTTTTGGTACAAAACCACCACCTTCTGAACAAACCGGCTGAAGCTATAGGGAAATTAATACTACAGCTTTGTACTGTTAATTTGGACTGTATTTCCATGGGCTAGTGATTTGTTAACTGCTATTCTGACTGACTTAATCCTAAGGTTCTTCAAAATAGAGCCTGTTAAACTCTAGTGATTCTTCCCCAGTGGCATTCAGGACACAGATGTAAAGACACGAGAAAAAGTCACAGCATACCTCAGCACCTAGTTTTAGCTGATGTGCATCAAGATCACAGGAGTCTGGACTGTCAGAAGTTTGGCTGCTGTGAAAGACGAGCATTGTGTTGTTTAATTTCCAAATTTGGTGATGGCAAACAGTATTTTGCAGCATTCATTCCAACCATTCGCACTTGTTTTCTGTAGTAACCCTAGCTGTAGAGATGTAAATGTGCTTTCCACATGCCTGTCTTCCAGATCCACATGTTAATTTTACAGACCTACAGCTAATCTGCAAAAAGTGGGCATCATCATCTTACAGAAAGCTCGGTTAATGAAAGAGGTGTGATTTATCCAGATGGCATCTGCTGCTTCTACCTAGGTTTCTTTCAGTTCTGCTTCACACACCTTTCCCCTCCCCTCCTAAATTCTCTCCCAGAACATCACCCTCTTTGCTCCTAGCGAGCCTTCTGCTAGTTCTCTGATGACATAATAAGGCCTTGTGAACCTTTTTATTTTCTTGCAGTTCAGCACCAGTTGTGAAGCTCAGCTCTTGATTTCTATACTCCAGGCGTCTAAAGTTTGATGAGATAGATCCAAGTTATTAATGTTTCCCCAAAAAAGAAATGTACAAAAGTTTTATTTCCTCATAAATGACCACAGGACCACCTCTCTCAAACCAGCTGCTCAACTGGTCTTGCAGTCACTCCCAGTCGGCACTGGCACAGGAGGAGCAGATCATGTTTAACAGGTGTATTGTTTGGTCAACGTACAGATTCTTGCACTGCTATCAATTACCCTGAACTCAACCCCTTTGGCTAAACAAAATCAGACTAGCACCTTCCATCATTGATGAAATTAGGTCTACACAAAACCAAAACAATATACCTTATATTGTGGCTAGTTTGCTCTGAAAACGGTAAGGCTGAAAGAAAGCATATTGATTTAAATGATGCAACAGACCAAGCTCTGCACCAAAGCAGTTTCATTTCCCCTCAGGAAGGCCACCTGGGGTAGATACAGAGCTCTACTTCCAAAGAACTGGCTGTTAAGGTTTGGATATGAGATTTGTATGCAATCTTTTAAGGAGTGTTAAATTAAGGACTGTGACAATTAAAACTCTAATTTTAGTAACGTTTCTAATATTTACTCTGGCACTCTTCATGAGGTGCAGAGAACATAGAATAAACTGTGGCATATCTGAATGGTTCTAAATAAGTTACCTGGAATCCCAATCTAACACATCAGAATTCAGGACCCTGGAGTTCACTCTGGCTTGGTGCTTCACTACTTTCTCGTGTTCCTTCAGGCACAAATAATAATAAGAAACACCACAAATTTAGTTTACTGCTTAAAGAAAGCCATTATCAAATTTATTATTGCTATAACCCTACAGAGTACGTTTTGTCACAGTAGGATGAACTGAGGCAGGAGAAAAGGCCTAGGAGGGACTTTCCTTACCTCCTTGTTATGAACACAGTAGTTCAAGAGAGCATAACAGAAATGCTGTCCTATTGACTCCAAGTCTTTCATATCAAAATGGGTGCTTTGCCTGCAGCCTGCAGCATCAACAGAAGCAAGACAGAAATGAAGTCATCCTGCAGACTCCTGGGTATCTGTGGTATTTCAGGATGGTGGCTGACTGCAGACTCACGTATCTTTCACTGACAGTTGCCAGATAGGTGCATGACTGCCAGAGTTCTATACAGATGATATTACAGATAATTATTTCACCTATATGCCCAAATCTATCCACTCAGAGGGGATTAACTATAATGCATAGTTAAATTATTCACTATTACAAAATTTCCTAAAACTGCAACTGGCTTCAGTTACTGCTTTTAATTTGCCATCCACTAACGCCATTGTTTCATGATACATACGCAATAATGCCAGTGGTGGCCTGAAAGGTTGCTAGCTGAATGCCCTAGTTTCAGTGTTTTTTTCCAGCTCTTATCTTAAATCATCAGACAGCACACCAATAAGGGGACGGTAGCTTAAGCTACCATTCTCCATGAAAAAACAACAGTAAAGGTCTTGTTTGAGGATTCCCACGAAACAGCTACAGGGAATTGTCTCACCCAACTTAGAGCCACAGATAGAGGCTTCCAAAGTGTAGCTGTTGCTGATGCCCATCTTCCACATTACCACTCGACCTGTGCCTTCTTTGCTCTTTCGTACTCTGAAACGGCAGTCTGGGAATGAGAACTTAAAGGACAGGTAAAGCATTAACTTTTTAAGTATGTAGGCAGATGCAATAATTTAATTTTAACCCTGCAAGTTTTTTAAAATCCTATCTACCAGGTCAACAATTGTGAGTTTTCACTCTACCTTACTTGAATATTGCACAATATAGCATACTGTTATTTATGGTATAACGGAGATGTAGGTGAAATAATGGCCCTTTGATTAAAAGTTTGTCTTACTTCAAGGATTTCTGAGACTTCTGCAAAGAATTTTTTATGTGGCTGTACTTACAGTTGCTAAATGATCCTATATAGACAGCTGACCAGCTGAGTTACCACAAATCCTGTTATGTACCAACATGCATATTTACTAAAAAGTTGGAATAGCTCCTCTCTCATGAGTAAATAGACCATCAGTTTGATGTAACCAATACGGAACCCACAATCACCTCTTTACTGATATCTGAGGAAAACAGCATTAGCTGCAAGCATGCAATGACATCTAGTAGGTTAACTTGTGTGTTACTTTATTCCTGAGCCTTTCCAGCCCTTCTGGTTCAAAAGTTTACTGCGGTCAGAGTTTGCTGGAAAATGACATATTTTAAAAGTCATAATTTCCTTTTTTTTTCTAATTGAAATATCTTACACAAACATGGTGAATTTGACATAATTTTTACTGGAAAATTTTCCGAAAGAGTAAACCTGGAGAAACATTTTTTCTTCTTTAGTTCCTTATTTGCTCATTTGTTTGTTTTTAATTCTACAATGTATTTTAAAGTTGCATTTAATACATGAATACACAATATTTAATGTTAGGTCTTTACATTGTTACAGCAATGTTACTTTGATATTGCCTTTTCTTATTCTTAACAAAAAAAAAAATCTTTTAAAAATGCTAACTTTATCTCCCAATTCAGCATGATACACTTTGGAGTGCTGGAATTTCAAAGGAGTTAAAATTTCATATTCCTACCACTTCTAGTTTTAGCCAATTGAAAATTATTTTACTGGGTGAAATGCAGTCTTTTAGTAAATGTGATACCTTAACAAAAAATTAGGGATCCCAGATGATGGTTGACTTTTTAGGTGAGGAAGTTTCTAACCAGACATTTGCTTACCTTATCTGGGCAGCTCTTGCTCAGCAAGAGTGGGAAGACACGTGGATGCACGTATGGTGCTTTTGCTTGCCACTTTCTCTCACAGCCATACATGAAGACATTTTGTTTCCTGTTGTGACCATGGATGTCACAATACAGAAAAACATCATCTTCTCCCATCACTCTGTAATACGGGACAACATAGATGTATTTATTAAAAGTGTTTGTTTTTCCTCCACCTCAGAAACTAGTCTGAGACAATACATTACACTGAAGCTCATGTGTAACCGAAAGAGCAATAAATCAACACAAGTTCCATATTCTGAATTCTAAGTTAAACCTTTAGTGTGCTAGATTAGTACCAAGCTGCTCAGTTCTGTCCAGAATAAGACACTTGTCATTGCACAGAAATAAGATACGAGTGTATGCATCATCAGCCTTTGTCCATGTGTTTGTTTTCTCAGGCTCAGATACATACGCCCAGCTCTGTAGATGTGCACACAAGCGTGTTGTACAGCTGAAACCTGCTATTCTTACCTGCTGCTCACTCATTACTGCATTGAATAATACATGCTGTACAATTATGAGACTGAAGCATAAAGAGCAGTGAATACTCTTTCCTTTATCAAACTGGAGACATCAATCTTTATTATGTGCCAAGATTCTGCAGTGTATTATTGCTTAAGTAACTTTTTAAAGAAAATTCGGAGGTACACACATTGGAGTTTAGCAACCCACACCCCCAACGTCCAATTCATGTCTAAGCAGAGCTCTACAGGGAAGATGTGATGGCACCACAGTGTGTCACCTGGGGCTTCACTCTTGGCGGGAGCTGGAAATCCCAGCTGGAACTAAGAAGGAAGCAGTAATAAACATATCTGTCTCAGCTGACAGTAGCTGAATATGGGGCTGAAGGTCAGTAGCACTTCAGCAGACATAGTTAATACTACTTACTCACAAGTGCAGGCTGTCTCCATACAGTAACACAGAGACAGGAATTCTCATGGAAAAGAAGGAGAGGCGCAGTGCTCATCCCCTGTAAGCTAGGGATTTATATGCCAAAACATCTATTTGAAAGAACAAAGATCTTATTTAAAACAGGCTGTAACTAAATAAAAACCATTAAAAGTACTAATTCTGACACTGGCTTTCTGCACAAGAGTCTTTTTTGTATTGATCTGTTACAGAAGTTAACCCAGACGGATTTAGTTTCTAGCTGAAGGTTTAGTTTAATATCCGAAAGTTTAGTTTTATACCCAGCATATCAACGTCTCTGTGACTGGAAGTCTGCATATGAAATCCAACCTTAGTAAAACATACAGTAAACTCGGCAATCTTCACTGTCAATTGGGCATCTGGGATCTAGTCTGAACCTAACTTCATTCTAGGATGGGGTTATATGCCAGAAAAGAAGAAAATGAAACAAATAAAGACTTTGATAAGTAGATTTTGGCAGAGGATAGTGGAGAGAAATATGCTGAAAATGTTTTGACGAAAACTTTTTTACTTTGGCGATATAACATTACCAGGAACGGAGAAAGGATATTAAAGGAAAACCTGCACAATACTGAAGAAAAAAATAAGCCACTCTGAAATGCAACTGAACATCTACAAACAGTCAGAAAGGCTTGTGTACAGGTCAAAGGTGTAAACAATACCAAAACAATAAGGACACAGAGAAGCCACACTAACAAAGAGACAGTGGAAAGGAAAATAATCTATTCTAAAGGGAAAGAAAATGAGGTTACCTTCTGATCATGTTTCGGGTATACCAGACAGAAGGATACAATTTCTTCACGTTAGACCTGTATTTTCGGTTCAAGTCCTGACCTGTTAAAGAGCAGCGGTGATTTCCCACAATCACACCATCCGGATTCAACATGGGTACCACTTTGAAGACAAAATTGTCCCGCAGGAGTTGAGCTTCGCCTGTATCACTAAGAATATAATCCAGAAAGCCCTTCATTATCCAGGAACTGTTAGTTTCTCCTGGATGCACCCTCGCAGTTAGTATCACAGCCTTCCTCTCGGTGCCTTTGCCGCTTTTGGGGGGGTTGGTGATAGTTAAAACGTACACTGTGTTTCCTGCCAGTGAATGGCACAAGACGTGTATCTTGCAGAATTTGGACTTCACTGGATCATTAGAGATGGCCCCCAGGTACTCCTGCAGGTTGGAGTAGGTGTAAGGATAGCAGTGGGCAAAGTAGCAGGTGTCTTGGTCATGAGGGAACTGGAACGTCCAAGTGAGTGAGAAATATTGAAGTCTACCTCGGCCCGCATTGTTTTTGTAATACTTGATTTCATTTCCAGTCCTTCGCCAGCCAACCTTGTGTTTCTTAGCATCGACTTCTGAGTACAACAGTGGCCGCAAGCCACGTTTATATAGGCTGTTACGCTTGGTAAAGTTGACAATAGTGAAGCGATAGGGCATCCCCGCCTGCATATTGCTTACTTGGAAGTAGTACCACTGTGTGTGTTTGCTTGTGTAGAGGTCGGTGCGCAGGGTCAGCTGGTACTCAAATTCATTGCTGCTAGGCAGAGAGAAGACAAACAGTTGTGATGGTGGTTAGCACTGTAGCACGATGCAGTGTCAAATACTGCGGACTGCCATGAAAAAGCACCCTGAAGTGAAGCAGGTGCAAATCTGATCTGTGCTGTCATAAATCAAAGTCTATACAGCTGCCAAGAAAAGATGCCTAATTGCACCGAATGTGTCAATAATGCAACTGCTGTCTTCATTAGGACTTTTAATAATAACTAGGACTTCTAAAATGTTCTCCACACAATGCTTTAGAAGGAGGTGCTTAAGAAAAGATGTTGAGTTTGTGTGGGTCATTATCACCTATAGAAAATGTTCAGTGGTATGGAATGGCTATCAGACCATTTCGTGTGAAGGTTACCTGAAACTACGTTTGAAGTGTATTCAACTAATGTAAAACAAGTTACAAAACCAGAGTAACACATCTTGCTTAGAAACTGATAGCAGGCTGTTGATAACAACTTTGATAATAACTCTATCTTAATAAAAAAGGATTAGAAACTTACACTTTGACCACCTCCTGCAAATTCCCACTCTCAAACCGTGCTTCGAAGATCAGTGTGTTGTCCCCTTTCTGATGGAGGATCTGCTTCAGGGGGCAGAGACCTCTCACTCGGGAATACATACAGCAGGAGTTTTTGTTAGCTAGGGGAAGGAGCAGAACAGATGTCTTTCATTTCTGTCTGAGTCATTTTCCGGAATACCTGCATTCTTCTGCAAGTTCTTTCTAGAAACAGACAACCGCATGAAGCTGAACTTCAAAGCATATCTTAGGTAAGCGTTAAAGAAATTATACACAGGTTTTGTTGCCCATTCCCACTTAACCTTATGGATTTCAGCCAGTCCAAGATCTGACTGTGTCTTGCAGATGCCTGTGTCTCTCTGCATGAGCAAAGGGTAATTCATATCCTGTACTTAGGCAAAGTAACTGAGTTAGGTGGAAAGACTCTAGGACTCGGCTCCCTCCAGTCTTTTCACCAGTCAAATGGGCAACTTCTCTAGTCAGAAATCATATGTTGTTGACAGCTGTTGCCATCAGTTTGTTTTTAAATCTCTGTATTCAATTATTCTAGTCTAGAAGTGAAAAAGATGATGACAAGACCGAGCAGCATTCACTTTTACATTGCAAGTGATTTTTTCACATCACTTTTAGCGTGCAGTTTGAGCCTGTAGACCCTTTTGCTCTGTTCTGCTGTCTCATTCACTGTTCCTCAGATGAGACACTCACAGAGGCATAACTGAACTTTTTACTACAACCTTCATTACCATAGTTCATTAAAAAACAGAAACTCTAGATTTGCCATCAGCAAGAATTGACTTTTCTGGTTGGGCAGTTGCCTTACCATGCTGTCAGATAAGGGGGACTGACCCTGTACTACACAGCAGGGTTAAAGCTGCACAGCAGCCCTCGTGCAGATCAGAGTTGTGTCTGCCCTTCCTTGACTGAGCCTGTGCTAAAGATTTATCCTGCAGCAGTCTATCTGTCTTATTCTCTCCTGTAGTGTTAAAGCCCTCACAGTACTACTCAGGGAAGTTACGTAAAGCCACGATTCCTAGAAGTAATTTTTTCATTCCTTGAATCACTGTTGCCATACACAAAACATGCCATATTCAGTGTATTGTTCTTCATTATTGAAGTTACTACAGAACCATGGGGGTTTTCATTAGAGAAGGACTGTTAGCTTTGCTGTCTGGGATACCTACTTGAATAATTACTTTCTTCTTAGCTGGAATTTAATTTCCAGTTTCTCTACCCTTCCCTTCCTCTTCATGCTCTTCCTTAACATTAACGAAGAAAAATGTTTCAGTAATTCATCCAGTAAAACTGCTTCTGGAAACATCTGTACTAGTCAAATGCTATAGAACAAAATGCATGCATAAAATCTGAGGTCTCTCTCATGATATTTTAATTTTTCTGCATAGGAGTCACCATTGGATTGTATTTTTCTTTCCCACATAAGATTTTAGGAGGGTCCGTAGGAACTCAGCAGCAGGTAGTTCCCAGACAGGCAGTAACACCCATCTCCCGCTGAATTCAGATTGAAACCGTGTGGGAATCAGGAGATTGCTGCTGCTGTCTCCCACAGGATGCGATGGCTCATTGCATGCCAGTCCGAGGCACTCAGGGCATAAATCTGCATAATGCAGATCCCTGTCCTACCCTACAGAATTTCTCTGTGAGGAGGATTTTAGGGTTTTAAAAATTGCATTTATTGCTATATAATTTTGATGGCAAAGCTACCAAGCTGGGGGTTTCTGTCCCAGGAACAGAAAGAAGTAGATTAACTGCATGGGGCTCCAAAGTTCTCCTCCTCCTCCCACCTGCTCCTGTCCCCAAGCTGGCTGCAGTGCCCAGCAGCCCAATTTGTACTAGGAGTCTGGTGCAAGCAGAGAAGGGAAAGTAAAGGATCCAGAGCTTTGAAGGTCTCTGATGGTCCTGCTACCAGCCAAACCCAAGTGTAGGGGGCAAAGCAGCACACTTAAGGCAGTGAATGTACAATTACAGTCACTTAAAAACTCACCCTGTAGTCAAAAATACCGACTATTGCTATCCGTATTTTTAGATACAGTCTTCACAGTGATAGCAAGCACATTCACATTCTGCTGCTGCTTGATGTTTGCTAGCCGAGGAATTGATAACTGCCTGTACCTACTGGCACAACATCATTCCTCAGGAGCAGGAGGGAGAACTGGCCATACTTAAAGCCAGCAGTTTTCCCTTCCTCGGTTGGAAAGTTTCATTAACGAAGTCTGAGAACCATGATACCAAAATACACACTTTACTGGAGAGTTGTACAGGCTGAAAAAAGAACCGCTCCCAGTCACCTGTGCATGAAGTTCAAGTCAGTAATAAAGGACATGGGAAGTTGCATTTTCAAAGAACAGCAACTAAAGGAACATAACAGAAATCACTGTCCTTGTTTTCCAAAAGGCGGGGAGCTGTCATTCAGAGTGGTCCTCCACATCTTATCCCTTGCAATAAATTAGCAGGTCCAGCTGCAGAGGACAGAGGCTCCTTCCTAGCCACACAGCAGTTACCAGTTTTCTTGGCCACCAAATGTAGCAACCTGCTAGTGACAGGTAATACACCCTACTGCAGAAGTAGCTAATTTCTAAATAAACATAATGTCAGAGAGTACCAATGCTTTTCAGTATATTGTGAGCTTTTACCAATGGTGTTGATCTCAAGAAGTATGCCAGCTCCCTTTCAGTTTTGTGCTTCTGAAAATTTTGTGGCCACATCTGGGTATCCTAGCATTGCAAAACTATTATTATCCTTTCTTATCTACGTAGAAATAGCCGAGGACAAAAATCAACAACTGCCAGAAGTTCCAAGTTCATCCAAGGCAACTGGATCAACTTAGCAAAAACAGGAAAGAATAAAAAGCTCTGATCATCAACTGGTAATGGTGGAATCGTGCAACTAACTCCCTTGAATTCTGTCCAGTTAATCCTTGCCAGACTTAGGAACTTGTAATCAAGCACTGATCCAGTCTGGCCAGATTTTGGTTATAAGTCTTGGCAAAACCACTATAGCAAACAAGATAATAAAACATTCTCCCAACACAGACTTTAGTGTTGGTCTTGCAGTAACACAGCTCTCATCTCTCTCATTTTCTCTTTGGGCTGTTAATTTATCTTCTCCACTCATATTTTCCCAACAAACTCATTTTAGGCTGGTTCATACTGTTATTCACTGAGAACAATGGCTTGAGCTGAGCTGGACTTCTGTGATAATTAACAGTATAAGCAGAACTTATGGATAATGAGACAGCTGTGTAATTAATTTCCTTCCTTATCTACAGGAAAATAATTTATTCCAAAGTGCTCTAAAATAACCCTACAAAATCATATTGATTTCATCAGGCTTTGAATTAGGTTCATAAAGGAGATCAAAGCAGGTGCTTCATCTACCTACTGCTGACAGTAAAATTTCTCAGGGTGTTCCCACCTTCTTCTCCTAGATAAATGACAGTGCCTTTGTCAGGAGTTTGGTATGGCGGCATCATCTCCAAACCTGTTGGAGCATACAATGGCTTAGGGGCAGTGGGTACCCAATCTGAAAAAGAAGAGACAGACAGAAGAAGTACAAACAGGAAGACTGCATTGGAGTCTTCATATTATAAAGGACACATTGAAAAGTGGTTCATCCTATTTATATCACTTGCACACAAAGGAATAGGGAATCCCCCTTTTGAACCTCATTTTTTGAATCTGTGAACAAATCTTCACTATAACTCCAAATAAAAATACCTATCAATCTGTGCATGGAGTAACTTTTGCTGTGCAAACTTACTTCTGTTCCCTGTACAGCTTGTTTACCATCAGTGAGGATGACAATGGTGAACATTAGACAGCACTGGTACCACTGGGAAAACAGATGCTCCAAATACAGAGTGAAGTCATTGATTGCTGACTACACAGACGCTACACGGCTATAATGCCGTGTCTCCATGCAACTCGTACGACATCTGCCTGGCATGTCAAAGATCTGTTGAACACAAATTTATTCTGACAGTAGGCCTTTCCTTACTGTAATACTTACAGCAGTCCTATCCCATTCAAGATACTGGGATACCTATATTTTCAAAGGTAACAGAACAAGGGCAGAGGTGTCTCAGTCCCACCTCCATGCATTTCCAGTTTCTACTGATTACTTCCAAATTGTAAATGGTTTTATCTATAAAGCACAGAGACTGTTCAAGTCTTCACTATCTCGAAATAGGTTTGCAGTATGACTTTTATACAGACTGCATAAAAGCAGTTATTAGCTGACATTCATATTTAACCGTACAGACCTGAAATACAGTACTGACATTGCTAGTAACAGGACATGAGATTTGTAATGAATTTGCAAGACCTCAGGACTGAGACTTGTCTAGTTTGGTCTGTCTGTACTTCTCCTTATCTGCCTGCAGCACTGTTTCACTTACTTTAGCTGTGACAGCAATTTCTCTGACCAGGTATGTACGGCTAATTTGCTTTACTTTTGTTTATCTTTATGTGGTACAACCATATGCTTATATGAACAGCAATAACAAGCAGTTTTTCTGTGTAGAAATGCAGACCAAGAGCTGGATTAAAGTCCTATCACAGGTAATAAAGAGAACAAGGAAATAATACCTAACATATGTAAAGAATACCGTATACAGTAAATTCAGATGTAACATGGAGCTGCAGACCGATGAAGAAAGATGAAGAAAGAGGAGCATGTGAGAGTGAGCTAGCAAAAATATGAAAATGACGCCAGAGCTATGTGGACCCTAGAGTGAGGAAGAAGGTATCATCAGTGTGAACACTGTGTTTCTCCCAGCAAAGGACTCCAGAGGCTGACAATTTGCAACAAACAACCCCTCCCCTCCACCAGAACGGAACTTCTGCAACGAAACCACTGACCTTAGGGCCTAGAGGAGCAGTGGAAAGGGAAGCCAGGAAAAGGGTGTGAATGAATCACAGAATCACAGAATCACAGAATAGTAGGGGTTGGAAGGGACCTCTGTGGGTCATCTAGTCCAACCCTCCTGCCGAAGCAGGGTCACCTACA